CTGGTCCAAACCCTGGTCATGTTTTGATTGGTTTAATATATTAGGTCATATCTCGAGATATGAGAGTTGCACTGTCTGAAGTGAGATTGAAGCTGTATCTCATAAAAGTTCGGGTTTTCCACAAACATAATTTCCTTAGGGATGATTAAAGTATTCTGATCCTGATACTGATTATCTGACGTTTGAAACCCATAATGTTTGGTGGGTGCCACAGACAGCAAGCAGTTAGATGTAAATGGACTGGTTCTTATATAGCACTTTTCTACTCTGAGAACTCAAAGTGCTTTACACAACTTGCCTCATTTACCCATTCACACCAGCACTTTTTTCTATGCCCATGTGACTAGACAATGAAAATAATCAAATGATAGGGTGGAGCAGTGGGTGGTGTCAGGAGAGGTTGACCAACACAGCTGGTCTCCATAGTTCAATCATGCCTGCACTTGTGTGAGTAGATTACCAAGACCTGACCAAAGTGCTTTGTGAGGTGTGCAAAGAGCAGAAAAGCTCTGGTGAAAAAAGTACTACAAAATAAACATCCACAACACTGCAACAATATTTGTGTCAGGTCTTTTTTGTATTACTGTTGTGTTTGGTTTAACAGAATTGGAGCTGAATGTTCATGATTCTGATACTTTTTGGTTTCTTTTCTTTTAGGGCTCCAACATGTGTTTGTACTGCATGGAAAGGACTTACACTTGGATGTAGAGAAACCTGTTAAACTTGACAAAAAGACTGACTTTTTCTGGAAGTTTAATACCAGTAATTATGTTGGTAAAATCAGTTATAATAAAGAGTCAGTATTGTTTGAAAGCTATGAAGTAAGAGCTGATTTTTTTGGCCAAAATTACTCTTTGGTATTGAAAAATGTAAAACACAATGACAGTGGATATTATACTGCAGTAGTGACTGGGGGAAAAGAGCAAAGGGTAGGTGAAATCAAGGTCATAGTCCAAGGTAGGTTTATTTTTGTCATTTTCATTTCAAATATTGACACAGCATATATCTGTGTTAATTCTATTCACACCTGCTTTTAATTCCCAGATCCAGTGTCTCCAGTTAATCTGACATTGACCTCCAGAAGCTCAGACTCCTGTAACCTGACTGTAACCTGCACTATAGTGGACCTGAACATCAGCCGTACTTTTAGATGTGATGCTCACAACTGCTCTCTGTTGGAAGAAAATCCCAGCACCACAGACATGCTTTCCTCTCTGATTGTTTACCTGCAGCAAGACACCGTCTTTTGTAATCATAGCAATGAAGTAAGCTGGAAAAATAGCACGATGGTGCTAAAATCTCAATGTGACACGAAGTCAGGTAAGATTAGATGCCACAGAAATAATGAATGAAAATTTAAAAGATAGCCTTTTAAAGATGTCATGCAACAGAACTTTAGTGAAATACAAACTCTAAAAATAAAAATATTTGAAGATTGAGTTTTCTACTCTAGCAAAAAAAAACAAAACCCTGCCATAAATATCTAATATTATTATTTTTTGTATTAATAATATCAACTTAGAATTGTACAGTGCCTTTGTAATCAGTTTTGTTTTTCCTTTACAGGCCACATAGATGCCAACAATACCACCGTGACTGTGTGTGTTGTTGTTGCTGCCATCATCATAATCCTCGTTTTAGGTTATATTCATCATCGAACGAAACATAAAAGTAAGTCCAAGCAAGTATTTATCAAGATATTGCAAAAGTAAATAAATACAAAATCATCAAAATACTTGTTGTTGCAAAATACATTGCTTGTTATTATTAACCCCCGCAAATGCGGCTTGTCTGTGAAGCACTTTGATGTACCTGAGACTTTTAAATGTGCTATAGAAATAAAATTGAAACTGAAACTTTTTGCCAAAGTACTTTACTGATCCCAACTATGAGTGACCACTGTGTCCATTCCACGCTTTGCCTTACTGAAATGTGAAATCTACATGCATGTAGAAGTTGCAACAACAGCAGAGGGAGATATTTTATTTCAAGCCAACATGAAAATAATTATCTGAAAGCATTTAAATGGACATTATTAATACATTTACACGTGTATACATATATTAAGAACCCTGGAATGTACTTCATCATACGTTTTTCCTCACTACTGACTTTGTTGCTTAAAATATTTTATCTTATTCTGCTGGCACTGCAGCGTTCGCATACAGTAATGAAACTTCTGCATGTGTGTCTTTTTTACACTTTGGAAAGGCAAAGGTTGAAATGGACGCAGTGGACTGGTGTGTCTATTACATGCTCTGCCGTGATATCAGGTTGGAGTGCCATGCCAGGTCTAGTTTATGTGTGAGAATTCAATTATTTTGATACAATTTGGATTTAATGTAACATCAGCTGAAATTACTTAGGAATGCAGAATAATAGAAATCGTCAGTTAAAGCCTGCAAAGAAAAATATAAGTTAAAGCAAATCACTACATATTTATTTATTCATGTCTGACCACCAGATACCAGGGAAACCATTGAAAACACAGTGTATGCAGTTCCTGAGGTAAGTGTGGTAAATGAGATTTGACTTAGGTAGAAGCAAGCAGCTTCTAACTGACACATATTTGTGTTACTGGTCACACTGCGTGTTTTTGCTCAGGTGCTTTGAACTCAGTCACTCTGCTGAATCTTTTGATGTTCCATGCTTCGTTTAACCAGAGGGTTCAGTCTGGAAAGTAAACCATTTAATCTAAAATGCCTTTCTTTATATAGTTAATGTGTTATCAGATTACTGAATTTGTTTGCTTGTGCTTATAATCTTTTATTGAAAAAAAGAAATTCCTCTCATACTGGTCCCCAAAAGGGAGTCAGCATGAGGAAAAAAAACAAAAACTCCATAACACACAAAGAAAACACAGATATCATGACACCATAACACAATAAATCACAGACAAGGTACATGGGAAAATATTCCAGTGTGAACAGTTGCATCTGGGACGCTGCAATTTCGCGATTGCGCCTCTGGCTGAGCCGATGTCCACATCGGATGGGAGGAAAGCATGGGAGGCGTTGGGTGAAGGCGTATCAGTATCAGTGTACGCGTGTGCGTCTGTGTGGGGATGTGTATCCTGTAGCCTGAGAGAGTGTCCTTTCGACTATTAGGTGAAAATCAACAGTCCGCAGCCTACACAGGTGGCCTTGTGGAATAGGGAAAGAGAGTCAGTTCGTTCTTGTTATTGTATCTCTGGGAAGAATTGTTGTTGTTCTCCTCGGCATCAACCTTCAAGCATTGTCCAGCTGGCGCCGTCGGGGTGGGGGTGTTGTAAATGTTGTTTTGGGATGAACAAACTGTATCAATTTTACAGTTGTTCTTAATGTCCATCACTGGTCTCCTGTTGTATCATCTGTTTTAGAACTGTGAGCTCCTCCAAGATCTTTCCCATATTGCGTTCAGTAAGAACAGTCTGAGTACTCACAGCTCTTCCCACATTTTCGATCATAGCGGCCAACCTTGTGGGGTTTTGAAAGGCATTCACCGCTTTCTTCAATTTCCGATAAGCCAGGGCCAAGCCAGCTCCAATCAGCAAGAACCCCGTTATCATGGTTCCGAACAGGTAGATGTCTTCAATGTCCTCAATAGACAGTCCCACCAGGCACACGACGTGCCACTTCTGCCACTCGTCCATCGATTATCCAGCAGGGAACGTCCCTCCAGGACACTTGGGCTCTCCCGAACCCAGGCTTCTCGTCGAGAATAGAGTGCCAATTGCGTTGACAAATATCCAGTTATAAGAACAAGTGACACAAGCAAATGTCATAGTTTGGTTACTAACTGGACAACTAGAGGAAGGACAGAAAGGCTATTAACTATTAACTGAAACAAACAGCCAAAAAAAAAGGCTGTGGCACCCTCCAGCCTTAGAATAACCCACACTTGATTGTTCTATTCAGGTGTCGGAAGCATGGAAAAACATGGAAAAAATAAGAAGACTCCCCTCACTGGTGAATCACCAGCACAAAGCAAAACTAACAATTTCATCTGAAACTTAAAAGTTAAACAGGGAGGACAGCCAAAAAAACAAAAAACAAAACAAAAAAAACCCACAGGCCACAAATCCAATCCAGCAGTACCATGACAACATCTTCCCTTCGCCTCCAGGCAGCTGTAGACAGTTTTTCAGTGGAAGAACATGAAATGTAGTATGAATTTTGGCAGCAGGTAGTTTTAAAAGAAAAGCTTTTGCATTGATGATTTTCTTCGTTCCGAAGGGTCCAGTATACCTGGGTGAAAGTTCTTAGTGACACAAAAAATGAGTGACGAAAATCTTCTGAAAATAAACAAACCTTCTGACCAAGGGAGTGTTAATTCCTGGGGTCCTCTGGTTGGCAGTCCTTAATAGGGCCAACTTGATCTGTCTCCAGAACCATAAGCAGCAGCACAGGTGGACAGAGACAACTGTTACTTCAACAGAAGCTTGGTATGGAAGTAAAGAATGAAAGGAAGAGAGACCAGCTATACCAGAAGTTAGAGCATTGTGTGCATATTCTATCCATGTGTAAAACAGCTTCAAACCCTTAATTTAGTCTTTCAGTTTGGACCTGATTTGAAATGATCTTTTTCAGAATACAAATCTACAGTGAAGATAACGCTGTTGCCTTGTGATCAAAGTAAGCAGGAGACGATGTCTGAAGTTATGTGAGTCAGCAAGGGCTGTAACTAACCTGAGGTGGGTTAGGAAACAGTTTTATTTCTAGCAAAAATATTTGCAGGTGTCCTTATCTAGAGTGGTCCACCAGGTGGCAGGTGAACTTGGCAGTGTGGGCCCAATGGATAATCCATGAGTGTATTGAGAATGACCTATAGAGTTTGCTAGGATGGGCTTGAGCTGGAATCTGGCTCAATAGATCAAACATCTGGTTAAACAAACTTTATACCTCCCAACGCACAAGAGAGTGACAAAGTGGTCTCTTTAGCTGGTTAACTAGATTCTGTTGAGAACTGCTGAGACAGCATCTGATTGAATGTTTCATGAACCAGAGTGTTAGCAAAATTAAAATGACCCCAAAACAGTGACCATCTAGACTGTCTGCAGTTTAATCATTAGATTTTGCAAGAATGATAAACTCCTGTGGGCAGTCTGATGCTTGCCCCCTTCATCCAGTGCCTCCAGTCCTCCAGAGCTATCTTCCCAGCTAATAGTGCATAGTCTAAAATATAGTAATTCCTTCATGTGGAAGACAGACAGTGGGAGAAAAAGACACAATGGTGGAGTTTAGCTTTAGAACCAAATTACCTCAGCCACAAATTGCTAGTGTAGGTCTGGCCTCTGAAGTGCACTTGCAGGTCATTGCACTGTTGATTAAGAATATCTTAAAAGTATGTGTTGAACACATTTGAATAAAATGTATTTGGATAAAAAAAATCATTGTAATTTTCTTTTGCAGTCATGGATACAGGTGATCTTTTGTTAATCACAGTAAAATTCCTGCTTATGTTAATGCAGTTTAATGGCACTATTTACAAATAAAGTCTGAATGAAAATGGGAAATACACTTTGCAAAAAAGCTATCTATAATTTATTTTCCAGGTTATCCGAACAACACCACCCGTGGAACAGAGTCCAATCAGTGATGCTTCTCCAACATCCACCTATAGCTTTGTGAGACCTCACTCTGGACCCAACAGATCCACTGAGGCCAGAAGCAAAGCTTTGCCCGAGAGCTTGTATGCCCAGGTAGAAATTCATCCCAGATCCTAAAATCTCTTCAGAAATTCTAATTCAAGGTTTAAAAAGTAACTGCCTACCAAAGGCAATACAATCGTCAAAGTCCTCTTGGAGAAAAAAAGGGAAGAAGAGAAAGTATATCACACATATAGAGAAAGATTTTATGTTGAGGAATAACTGAGGCTTCTGTAAGGTGTGCTTTTGATGGACTTGATGGTCTTCGATACCCAACATCCACAATGATGGCGAAACAACTAGTAGCTCAGTGTTCCAACATTCGAAAGAAGGGACTGCTCTCACAGCTAGAGATTGACGAGGTACAACATAAATGCTACGGCAAGGGGGAGCCAGGACACCAGGTCAGGGGAGAGATATCATCACCCCCACCCGAGATTGGGTACAAAGCCCCAAGTGCGATAGGAGAAGGATCGTTGAGTGCGAGAGGAACTGACCAGAAAGATAGGATCATTGCCAAGCTTGAAACCTGGATCCCCCGTAGCCAGCTACCAAGATTACGTGAAGTACCCTCAGAAGGTCTACTCGATGATGTTAATGCAGCACTACGGATGATACCTACAGCCACGCTTACCAAGACTAACAAGCTGATCTACAATACGGCAGCAGTGATCAGTGAGATGCTTGGCTA